GATTTAATTTATAAGCGTAAATTTAATTACTGCTCTTTGCAAAACATTGATCTTAACTGCCTACAGCAATGTCAGAATCTGCTATTCTTTTCCCCTTGTGTGGTCTACAAAATTTGTTTCTCTGGTCCCCTCTGGCCTATCCTGATGTTACAGAGCATTGACACTTGTGGAATTTGTTCCGCTGTGTCACATACACATTTTTACACCTTTTCCAATCCCATCTGTCAAGCGCTCCTGCAATTTAAAAGGATTAGGAGTCTCCCTGTAATGTGTGCGCTGTACTCTTTGTCATGTGCTGTGATTTTTATGGGAGGAAAATTAGGTCATGATGAAGAGCTCCTGGTCTATAACTGCAAAGTAGCTTGGAGACAATAAATCATCAGCGGAGGCCAGCAGATTACAATGCAAAACGGAAAAGATGCATGTAGGAAAAGGGACGGAGCATTTTCTTGCACATAAATACATCAGGGTCCCCTGTAATCTGGGGCTGGCTTGCTGGATCTCAAGAGCATCTGCCAGAGGAATGGAGGGCTAGGGTTACTGAGCGCGGCTCGCGGCTCATGGTTCATGCCTCCTGACAGCACAGCATAAGCAGGAGAAGCCATAAACCCACATCTTTACATGGGAGAACCAGGCAAGCCTTGGCAGGGCTGGGCTGCAAGTGCGAAGGAACCAAATTCAGAGGCTGTAACTGCAGAGAGGTTTTTTAAGGACAGCTGGAAGTCCTACGTCCTGTTGATATCAGCATTTTGGCAGAGGGATCAACAATTTGGAAAGCAGTTTGGGGAATTTTATTAAAAATCTCACAAAAGGAACCAAATACACTTGGTAACTGAGGGTATATATAGATGGCTGTGATTTTCCATATCTCTAGAAGATTCTATTTCCTGTTATCTTTGCTGAGAGAGGAAAAAACTAAAACACAACAACTAACTTCATCTCTATTCAAACAATATTCAAGTAGCCTCCCAGCCCGGCATGGTGGCTCATTCTTGTAATCCCAGTGACTAGGGAGGCTGAGGCAGGAGGATGGTGAGTTCAAAGCCAGCCTCAGCAACTTAGCAAGGCCCTAAGCAACTTAGTGAGACCCTGACTCAAAGTCAAAATTAAAAGGGCCAGGGATGTGACTCAGTGGTTAAGCACCCCTGGGTTCAATCCCTGGTACAAAAAACAAACAAACCAAAAAACCAAAACAAATAAAGTAGCTTCCCAATTCAATCACTCCTTTATCTGGGGCCTATTAAAAGGGAATGTATGAGTTCAGATCCACAGACATTAACATTAACAAAGAGTATCTTATACAGCACTTGCCGCTAAAAGAAGAAAATGTTCTATGACAGAGCATTCCTGCCCAGCACACAAGTAAATCAAGCTTGCTTCTGAATCTAATAAGGACAGGATGAAAAAGATTCCAGGAATTATTTCAGTGCATCCAGGCACACCTTACTATTATTGTTTTATTAATTTTTCATATCAACAAGTATTAAATATTAAGGAAATGAAATCCAACTGCCAAATACCTAATGGTTGCCAAATCAATTACATATTGATGTACATTGTGTGTACAAAGTCCAACACTGGTCAATGGATGTCAATGCCACCAATATTTTCTTAAATGTAGTTCAAGGCAGATTCATGAGCCCTTTTATGGGCCCTGCATTTTGTTAAATGCAGATCAAGGCAGTTTCTTGATATGGTTATTCTTCCTAGACACCCAAAAATTTCAGTCAATGGCAAGTAAACCTTCAAAAAACAATTAAAAGGAAAACCTTACAAGAAATCGCAAAATTTTTAGTTTGGGGATATCTTGGTCAATAACAATGTTTAATATTTTGTTTTGTTTTAAAATCTTAACTAGAAGCATATAAATGTCCTCTACAACCCCAAGAATTTTCCTATTTTAACACTCATAGAAATAAGCTGTATGTTTGGGGAAAAGATTCTGCCCATACAGAAATGGCAACTTTAAATAACAGACTGTTGTCTTAAGGTAAGAATGGTAAGAGTCAAAATCTTTGCCCTTTGAGCTCTCAAGTCAAACTTGACTACAGGTAAAAACAGTCATACCCTCAAGTCTGTTCTTCTTTAGAATGTCATATAATCCAAGCAGGGTCCAGGCTATAGTCTCATTGATGGGAAATGATGCTGAGTTAGTATGGTCAACTCTCTGGTTTCATTATTTAACAGGTGATTTTGATATCACAGTACAATTTGGTTCAGCTTCCAGGGATGTTTTTCTAAAGTACTGAAGTAACCATTTGGATGACTGGAAAACCTACTCTACTTGGAAACTCTGAGAGCTCCCAGTTTTCAGGAGTAAATTTAACTCTTTTTCCATAGCTTTCCAAGACTCTTGACAAAGAGGCTGAATCCAGCCTCGTGACACCATCTGTCCCTACCTGCTAACATTCAGCCCACAGTCCTCTCATGAATACGTCATTTTAACATTTATAATTTGATTAATGTTGTTCTCTTGGAAAGCTGATGCTCCTGTCTCCACTCTTCTGCTGCCTACAAAACTTCCATTTATCAGTCGGAGCCCAGTGCCAGCAGAATTAACTGATCTCTGCTCAGTGGTGCCATCATACTTTATTTATCTTACTTTAGCACACTGCATAATGGTTAGTTATATCCTGATAAAATAGGAGTGCCTATCTTATTTATCTCTGGTCAACAGTCAATACCCAATACATGGTTACTGCAGTAAATAGAGATGAACAAGAGTGGATTTCTATAGCATGGATTCTAAAGTGGTCCTAAGTTCAATACTAGTTCTTCTCCTAAAAAGCTGCTGCTTAATTTCTCCATACTTCAGACTCAATGTCTAAGACAGAGCTGAAAATATTGACCTTATTTGAAAGTAAATGAGATGGTAAAGCGGCTTAGCACAATATCTTGTATGCAATAAGTTGTAAGTGAAAGTTAGCTATTATTATCACAATTATTACTTCTAGATTACATTCATTAATAAGATCTACCAGCTTCAACTGAATAAATAAACTGGTATATATTACCAATATGGGAAAAGAAAAATGACCATGAGCCCCCAAACAATACTATATCTTTTGGCTTTTTCCTTCCTACCTCTTTCCACATTGGGATTTTTATTTCCTAAAACTGTGCAAACACTGCTCCTTCAGGGTCTGTTGGGGAAGGGGCAGAAAGAGCTCCTGGGCCACCTTGACAAGGTAAGTGTGTGTCCCCATGCTTTCTCTCCCAATAAGAGGAGTGTGGGAAACACCTCAGCAGGCCTCCCATCAAGGACACAGGTGGCTCTCTGGGGAAGAGGCTCAGCAAGGCTGTTTCCATGCACACAGGTACTATCTGCAGGGGATCTGGGTGTGCCAGGGACAACATAAAGGAGCTCATCTTCATTTTAAGCCTTGGGTTGAATGCCTTGCATTAACCCTTAGTAAATAAGACAGACAGGAGTAGGAAGAAAAAATCTTATGCCTTAGCCAGTTAGAACATAGAGGTCTTTTTCCTTCTGCTGAAAAAAATATGTCAGATTAAAGAAACTGAATTTTCTAGCCAGCAAGTATTCCATCTCTCTCTCCTTCTCCTTTTTAAATGTCAGTTTTAGAGACAAAAATGTCTTACACATTTTTGAGTTAGGGAAAGGTGAAGGGAGAGCTGGAGGCTGGGAGTGTTTGTCGTTATGAACAGAGATCCAGGTGGGCTTCACTCCAAATGTCTCAAGGGAGTGAGGAAATACCATGTGGCTTCATGGAGGAAGAGTGTTCCAGATGATGGAACAGCAACCACAAAGGCCTTGAGGTAGGTGTGTGCCTGCCATGTGAAGAACAGCAAGGAGTCAAGGCAGCTCTGCTAACAGTGGGGGATAGAGGCCATGTAGCACTTCCTAGCTGGTACACAAACTGACCTTCCTGAGTGAAACAGGAAACCACCGGATGGTTCTTAGCACAGAAAACTGAAAGGACTTAACATTTAAAAAATCTGGGATGGAAGTAAGGAAGCAAACTGGGAGGCTCTTTTAAGATTCAGACAAGAGATGGTGGTGGCCTTCATTAGTGTTACCACTGTAGGTAGTGAGGAGTGGTCTGACTCTAGTTTCATTCTGCATGATTAAGTCCATTCTAGGCAAAGATTGTTTTAAAAAGAGGAACTTTTTCTTGGATTCCAGAGTTGTGGCTGCCAAATAGTGGCCAAGAAAACCCTGCACAAAATCTGGGATGCTTCATATAAAATTGCTATGTGTTAACATACTTCATAATATGGGGTGGAAGAAGGAGGAATTTTTTTTTTTTTTTTTGGTACAGAGGATAAAACCCAGAGGTACTCTACCACTGAGCTACATCCCAGCCCTTTTTATTTTTTTGAGACAGGGTCTTACTAAGTTGCCAAGGCTGTCCTTGAACTTATGATCTTCCTGCCTCAATCTCCTGAGTCACTGGGAGAAAATGTTCTTAAGGAAGACCAGAAATCTTAATGCTCTAAAAGAAAAGACAGACTATACACATGTGCACGTGTGAGCATGCACACTATGAAAAAAAAATGCGCCATTTATAAAAAGAAAAGACAAACTATAGGTTTGTGTTTCATTTATAACACAAATAAAAAAGTTCAATATTTATGATATTAAAAAACTCATAAATTCCTAAGAAGACAACTAAGTAACAAATGGGCAAAGGATGTTTCCAAAATGAGACTCATAATACTACCTCCTTCACTAGACTATTGTGAGAATAAAATGACAACACAAGTAAAGTGTTGGGCACAGTTCCTGGCATAGGATAAATGCTCAGTAAATGTTGTCCCTTGCCACCACCATGATTGTCACCTAAACTGGCACTGTCATCACCTCAACCAATTCCCTCAGGATTATCATCACATTGAACCACCACACTCAGCACCTTCACCACCATCAGGTCATAAGAATCATCAGCAATGCAAACCTGAGTCAACTGTGAAGGTCAACATCCATGCAGTTTCCTTCCAGAGTATGTTTCACTGCAAGTGACCAAATAAATGTGTATTACCTTTTCATGGTTCTCTATCAGGATCTCGATGACAATGTTCTGAAACTTGATATCCATGATGGCTGCTACTGTTTCTTCCTGAGGCCGTAGCAAGGTGGGTCCAAACACCACCCCAAGGTTTGCCACTGTCATCAAATTCTGCTTGTGATTGTTAGCAACACTGGGAAGAAGAAGAAGAAGAAGAAGAAAAGCACAAATAAGAGAAATAGTGTATGCAGAGACAGTAACTCCCCCAACCCTTCCTGCCTGCCTCTGTGTAGGCTCCTGGTTTGTAGGAGCCAGCACTTGGGACATGCTCAGATGCCATCAACCAAAAAAGAGACTTTTCTATTTGTATTTTCATCTATCAAAGTTCACAAATTTTCATTCAGCGTCCAAGCTATCTTGCTACTTCAAGATATGGCACTCCTTATAATTTACATTTTACCTAAAACAACCAACCAACAGATCAAAAAACCATCTACCAAATGTTGAACCTCTGCAAATCTCAATCTCTGTTCTGCGTGTTCAGGTAACTGCTAATCCCTTTTAGTGACAACTTATGTTCTTGGCTGCTGCTTAAACTACTGTGATCATTAGCATTTTCTCTAATGCAAACATAAAAATTCTTGACAGCTTTAATTCACTTGAAAACACAGACACAAAATAGGCCTAGTTTTTAAAATGGGCAGATCTGGCATTTAAAATCTCATCACGAAATTCAGCATTGACTCAAAGTATTAAAGCCCTCATCAGATGAAACATGTGGCTCACATTAACAGAAACATGTGGCGTAAACAGAAATAAAAACGCACTACAGTATATTCATGCACATGGCTATGTTTATTCTGTCCCTTCTACTCAAAATTTAATTCAGACTGCTGGCTGAAAAGGACACAGGGTTAGAAGTAGCTGGATCTGAGTAAATTGCTAAAAACATATGCAATGTTTGGATAAGCAACTACTCAAAACATATATCTAAACTCTGCATCTAGGCTTCCATGACCTAGTTTTAAAACTTAATTGTTTGTTTGTTGGCCCTGGGTATAAAGACACAAGTTTCCTACCGGCAACAAATAAGTTAAAAGTTCACACCATTCAGTATGGTCAAGAAAATACCAGGAGCTCCCCTAAATCACCTGTTGGAAGAAGGAAGTTACTCATTACTAATTTGAATCCAAAGAGAAACTGGGCAGAGATGGGCAGTTTACACAGACCTACCTCCCTAGCATTTAGTGCTATTTATACTGAGCATTTTTTCACACAATTCTATAAATGCCTACCCTGTTTCTCTTGCATATTTCTATTTTGTAAAAGGAAAAGTGATTATACTACCTTCAATGCCAGTTTTAAAACTGAGCCTTTATTGAAATACATCAACCAATTTTATAAGCAGATGTGAGTTTTTCTGTAACTTTTTAAAGTGAAGAGTTTAATTTAACTTCCTCCTTTGAAAGGGGAGGGTGTGGTTAGGTCTATGGAACTTTAACTGTGGCACAGTCCAGTCAGAAAGACAGTGTGCTTTTTGAATGCTAAGCAACACCTGGAGCAGGGAGAGCTGCCCCAGGCATCCAGGCCTGCTTTGGTCCACACAAGGATGTTTTCTAAGCTTTTTCTTAGTTCTAGCGGAGTCTCCTGGGTTTACTTAGAGTTTTCCATTCTACCCAGAACTTCATCATGTTGCCAGTCCGAAAAGAGTTAATCAGATGGTCAAGTTTGTACCTGGCAAGGAGGAGAGACTTTGGTCCTGTGCCTCTATCAATCAGCAAGTATGTATATTTACAAGCTGCTTGTAACATCACTGCTTTCCACATTAGCTCCTAATGTGTGGGAAGGGAATTCTCTCTCCTTATACTTCCCCTCCCAAATGAGCTAAGTCATTAGGCTTATCCCTCTTTCCACAAAAGTCCCTTGTGCAAGTGAATCAACAAGCTATTTATGTATGAAGGCACTTTCAAATTGTAGACTATTCAATAGAAAAATACAGGGTTTGGAAGATGAGTTTTTTACCCTAACTGGCCAGACTACAGCACCTTTTGGTCCAGCTTTACCTGCCAGACACCACCAGCTACTATCTGACACCCAGCTCTGACTATTCCACTGCTGGCTGAAAAGGACAGTGTCTTACACCTCTCCTGATTGTTGCAGATAACACAATGGCACAGCATATGAAGTGTTTAGCAACACTTCTGTTGTCTGATAATAATTACAATAAACCTGTGGTGGGCCTCAGTTATTTATTTGTTTGTTTCTCAGAAGTGGGTTAAGCTAGGGCCTTGCCCAGTTAGGCAAGTGCTCTGCCACTGAGCTACGCCCAAGTCTGGAACTCTCAGCACACCTTCACCCAACTCGCTAAGCCTTCCTCTGCCACTTCCCAGCTCTGGGTCCCTGTGCAAATAACTCAATGTACTAAAACCCTAAGCATTTGGTTCTTCCTCTTAGAAAAAAGGGGAGCTTGAGGTAAACAACACATCTACTTTGTGGGTTGTGCAGATTAAAGTGATAGTACTTGGGAAATGCAGTAATGAGTGTAATAATTTATTTTCCATCTCTTTCCACTTTCATATCTCTCTGTCTTTGTCCATAACATTCTCTGCCTAGAATATTCTTACTCTTCTTTGCTTAGCAGACTGTTGATCCGCAACAGTTGAACTTTGCAGATCAAAGTTCAGCTCCAATGCCCCCTTCCTTTCTGTTTTTCCCCCTGGTCCTGATACAGATAGACATGTCTGACTGTGCCTGTGTTTATTACATGGTGTTGGTATCTGTGCTACTGCCCAAGGACAGGAATTGTGGTATTTCACTTGGTAGAACCAGCATTGAGCACCATGCTAGGCACAGGTGAGTCATAGTAAGCACTCACTGAGGTGTTAAAGGACGAGGGGAGGTTCTTCATAGACATAAAACTATTATTCTCAGCCCAGCTACTTACTCATAAGCCTCAAATTATTATTGATGATTTTGGGGAAATGTATTTAAACTATGCCAACCTCCCTTTTCAAAGTCTCAAACTGTGTTCCACTTTTTAGATTTAATTAATGGGCAATAATTACTCTGATTTGTAGGCCCTGACGCCCAAAGGCATTTGGAAAAAAGTACAGTAATTCTGGATCAGCAACTCTGAATATAAATAGGCTTGGGGCTAACCAACAGAATTCATTTCCCTTTTAATGATCAATTTTATTTTGGAACTTAAAAAACACATTGATTGAAGTGTTAGAAAACTTTTTTGGGGAAAATGTGCACTTTTCATTACTAACTACCATTATCTTTTGGCCCACTGAAGTAATAAATTGATCTGTCACTCGATTATTACAGATCACAACTTGGTACGGCTATGTTCATTACTCCAGAATAAATTATTAACAATTTGAGATCTCTATGTATCCTGGAGAGAAAGACCTAGACCTCAGTCTCTGCTGGCACCAGTCATGCATTATAGCTTGACGGATTTACAGATGTGTGGGAAGCAGACTGGCAGAGCGCTGGGAAGTCAGTCCAGCAGAGGCCACGGGACTCATTCATTAGTGAGGTCTATAAAACACCAAGTGCCTGCTTTCTGTGCTGGTAACTGAGCTGCCTGAGCTCTTCCTAGCATAGTTCAGAACATCATGTTGGATCTTGACTTGAAATCTGCACACAGACGTTTCTTGTGCGTTATACATTGCACTGAATGAGCCTTTGACACATGCTCTCAGATTTCTGTGTCCACATGGATGGCTGTGCTATGGTGCCTTCTCCAAGCACTGTTAAGAGAAAACTGCCAATTTTGCAAGCTTTCTTGTAGGTTATAGGGAAAATGCTCCACATGGGATTTTTCTTTTTTCTTTTTGGTACTAGGGATTGAACCCAAAGGTGCTTAATCACTGAGCCACATCCACAGTCCTTTGATTTTTTTTTTTTTTTTTTTTTTTTTTTGAGACAGGGTCTCACCAAGTTGCTTAGAGCTTCACTAAATTGCTGAAGCTGGCTTTGAACTTGTGATCCTCCTGCCTTGGCCTTCGGCCAGATAAAGATGGTGGTTGGGGAAGAGAGTACTACGAGGGGAGTACACAGCAGCCAACACTTTGGGGCCCGTAAAGAAAGATTTCCATGCTGTCATGGGATCTCGCCTGTCTTCTTCAAGTCTGAATGGGGCTCAGAACTCCATAAGCGCTAAGCAGTACTTTATAACCCCAGACTGGTCCTGAGGGTCTCCAATAATACATAAGCTTTTGAAATGTTCACAAATTGGTTTTAACTTGAGGCCTGTTGTGCCAAGATGAACAACATTAAAGCTGTGTCCCAGATCCTCTGGGCACAATGTGGTGACAGGTTAGCAATGTCTTCATGGAGCAAAAACACTTCCCTGTCAATCCTTATATGCCTGCTTCAGCTTCCACTGTTAAATAATGATAACCTAGACTCATAGGATATTTTAGACTTCACAAAAAGCTCTTTTTAAATATATTTTTGACCTTTGTAACAATTCTAAAACAGCAGCTTTTGAACTTTCCAACAATGATTCAAAATAGGAAATAAATTTCTCTCATGCAATATTTCATGAGTACATGATATATATATATATATACACACACACACACACACATACATATACATATAAACAGAGAGATACACAATGTATCAGAAACAAAAGTTTCAGAAACAGTAAGTGGAACATATTCTATATTTTTATTCCTTTTTTATCCACTAAACAACCTACTTTCATACTATGAACTACAAATTGAAAAGTGATGTTGAAGGGGTAACAGTACGCAATATGGAAAATAAGAAAAAGAAGACAGTAGCACATGGTTGGAGCCTTGTGGAGAGCTGGATGGCAAGGCAAGTTTGGTGGCTGCTCTAAACCTGTTTCCTCATATGTAAAATTCAAGTGGTAATATCTACCACACAAAGCCGGAAGGCTGATAAAGCATGATGGTGTAAGGGAGTCACCTCACATGAAATACTGGCTTAATAAGTGACAGATGCTATTGTTATGGCAGCAGTTAAGGTAGAGGTGATGGCAGCAGTAAATGCCAATTAAAGCTACACTGCTAGTTAGTGGTTTCATTTGATATCCTGTCCAGAAACCTCTAGTAGCTGCTTCTTCTCGGGGAGGTGTCCCCACCTCCTCCACCTATATTTCAAGGCCCTCTGGTACCCTACATATCTGTATTTCTTTCTTTTTCATTATTTTTT